AATAAAATACAAGTGATCACACGTGCCCAAATATGATGCCTCGTCCTCCTTCTGGGCCACACCCCGCAGTTTGAGGAACACTGACACTAAAAAAAGCTTGCATTCTGATTTAAACTGCAGGACTATTAAAGCTACAGTAGTTAACTTTTATAAAAAAGTATTTTTTTTACATATTTGTTAAAACTGGCACTAGCAAAAACCATACCACACTATCGGGCTACAACTAAATTGCTCAAGAGGTCATATTACTGGACAAACATCCAGCATCGGCAGTGTGGAGTTGCCCAATAATGGTGGGGGAAATACTGCAATATGTAAAATAAATAAATAAATAAAGTATTTTCATCTTTTACCCTTAAATGGGTTTATTTTTCTGCAYTGAATCACAAACTTAAATGTGATTTTAAATCTATTTTTTTTATTAAATAAAGTTATTTTTTAATGAACTAATTGATGGGCCAGAGTGAAGTCATCCGCAGGTCAGATGTGGCCCACAGGCCGCCAGTTGAATAGCCCTGCTATGCAGTATTAACAACAGAGTTGCAGCTTTTGATGTATAAATTTCACTTTTTTCAAAACAATATTTATGCTTCAGAGAGCTGACCCCTTCAGATATGAGGTTCTGGATGATGGGGTGCCCTGCTGAAATTCACTGTTGTATAAAGTACCTCAAAGTGATACTTGAGTTAAAGTACAAGTATCTTATCATTAAATACTTTAAAAGTAAAAGTGTTCTCTAAAAATATTACTTGAGTAAAAGTCGTAAAGTATCTGATATTTTCTGTACTTAAGTATCAAAAGTAAATTTCTGACACAAAATCTACTTAAGTATTAAAAGTAAAAGTACTGAGTAAAAGTGAGCAGTTAGATTTTCCAAAATGACATTTATTGGGAGGTGACTTCTCAAAAAAAAAATTTCTAACAGCGTGCAACTGTGATAGGTTGTGTACAAGCTAATAGGGTGTCAGAATGGTATATATTTATACTTCTCATTCAACCACAATTAAATTTACTCTATCCAGGAAACACAATTTATCAGGATAGTATTTTTTTAAGTAGTAACAACTCAGAATAAAATAGGAGTAACGACTTTCTACTTCTTACCTTTTTTAAAAAATGTAGTGAGTAGAAAGTACAGATAACTGTATAAAAATGTAATAAGTAAAAGTAAAAACATATGCTGAAAAATAATTACTCAAGTAAAGTACAGATACCCAAAAATTCTACTTAAGTACAGTAACAAAGTATTTGTACTTAGTTACTTTACAACTCTACTGAAATTATACAGCAAATGTTTTATTTCACTTAGTCTGGTTTTATCAGATGACCTCATCGTGTTCCAAAACCCGAACAACCAGGAGCAGAGCATTCAGGGGTCAGGTACGGTAAAGGTCACGGGTCTACTCTAAACATCAAATGGGCCCCCCCGCCCTAAAGGCCGGTGGGACATCAAAGCGGACAGGTAGTGTTTGAGGCCAGTAGGACTTCTAAGAACCACGTTATGTGGTGAATCCACTGCTTGTGTCTCGTACTTTCCAGAGCCGTGTGTCTGCATCCAGCACTCTTTAAAACTGTTCTTGTTGTTCGGCAGAAGCGCTGCAGCAGGGAGAGGAGAATGGGGTGGTGAGGAAGCGAGAGACGGGGAGCAGGAGACGGCGGAAGGAGTGCAGGAGCATGCTGTGGAGCGAGCGACTCTGCGCTGCTACAGTATGGCTCTGACAGGCTTATGTAACCAGACTGGGGCTGGCATTTGGCTCRCAGCAGACGCCGGCTGCGCAGGCTGTTATATAACCGCTGCTCCTCTGAGCCGAGAGGGAGAGCATGCGCACTGGAGGGCTGAACAAGAAAAAAAAAAAAACACAGACTTTATACTTCCAGAGTCAGAGACAAAGAGCAACTGTGAGCTGCTGCAGCCTGAAAACACACAAGAAACAACACACAATCAAAGCCACCGTGCTGTGGAAGAGGAAGTGCGACGTCAGGCTGTCAGCATCCTCACTTCCCCATCATCCAGCAACAAGTCTCCCATCATGAAAAGCCTAATTGGGCCTTAATGTTGGGTAAATGTTTCCAGTGCACACGCAGTATGCCAGCAGGGGCCAAACTCAATTACTTCCCCTGCATGCAGAATATAATTTAATGGCCCCAGATTCGACTCCTTAAAACCCAATTACACCTCAGACAGGCATCTGAAGTCCTTCTGCCAAACAGGAGGACGGGGCTGCAGCAGCTCACAGATACCCCCCGCCCCCCGGGTGTACGGATCAACTGGAACGATGGTGAAAACGCCAGGAATGTGGGGCRAAACGCTGAAGTGGAGAGGTCCGGCGAGCACAGCCACACTAAGGGCTTCATAATCATCACATAACAGCCTCTGATCTCTTATAAACAGCCACAAATTGCATCCAATGATAACAGGGAGAGATGAAGGTGCTTTATAACACTGCAGCCAATGGCTGAATTCAGAATGTCTTAAATCGATCCTGGAGTGGGGAAAATGACTTGATGATTATTAACTGTGGGAAATACAAGGGAGATTTATGACATGCTGCTAATTTGTTCTGAGATACTGTTGGCTGTATTCTCAGGTTGTTACTGTTAAGATGATAGAAAAGGACTCATGGCTTATTGATGCCTCATCATGTAGGCTACCTTTGAAACGATTAGGTGACGTTTGCAAGARTTTTGGCAGAGATCAAAACAAGAGGCTGCACGTCAGCTCCTCTTTAGACGATATTAAAACATCAATTAGTAGCGAGTTTACTACAAATGCCTCGGAGCTTTGGGTGATGAATTTACAAGACTCCACAGGCCGCCTCTWCCACGTGCCTCATCCAGGAAGTGAAGTCATTCATCAGGCTGGTGCTCATAGGAAAGAGTCAAGAGGGCAACAGAGTTCCCAACAGTTAATCTGTAGGGATTCAGCTGCAGGACAATGGAGGTCACACGCACCAATSCTTTTTATTCAATTCAGTTTTATGCTCACTTTTTTTTACATTTTTTCATCTTATGGGCTAGTTTGAACAAATGTAGAATTTATATGAGAAAAATTATTTGTGATTGTGTTAATGGAAATTCGCTGGTGGAAATGGAAATTATTAGGTTGGGAAAAAAAAACTTTCCTTGTTCAAAGTGTATTCACTTTTGCAAAGAGTGGGTCAGTTTTAAGATCTTCCACTGTTTTAAGTTAAGAAATGTTTTTTTAAAAGCACATTTCAGAGGGGGGTTTTCAAAGTTTGACAACACAAACAAAATAGTTTTTAAAAAATGCGGAGACTTCTCACCATGTTTTTTTTTTTTTCAGTTTTGGGGTGTAGCAACAGATTAAAGTGCGGACACGATTTGCCACAGTATAAGTTACATTTTGAGGGCGTAAACAAATCTCTGTATCTAACTGACTTGTGCTTTTTGCAGTAACTGAATGGGTTCAGATCAGGCCTTTAGGTTCGGTTTAGTCAATATGTGAAGATCGACCAATCACAGGGAGAGAGGGACAGGAAAAATGTCAATAAAAGCTAAGCAATCGACAAAATTGTTTGCTAAATATATTACTGTCTTGTGGATGTGCCAAGTGAGAAAATGGTCAACCATTTGTGTGTTGATGGAATTAAAAAAAAAACTTCAGCTCAGTGTCTGTTAAACCGTTTTTGTTCTGGTGAAAGTCGATGAGCTGTGGAGACCATGTTGAATGGGTCGACTGTAAAAGTTATTCAGTTGTAYGTGTGCTTCCAGGGACTACTTTTTGAGTTTTATTCAAATCTGGGCACTGGTTAATGAAATGTTTTGTCAATACAAGAAAGTAACAGATTTTTTTCTTCTGTCTACTCCTTTTCATTTGACCATGTCGTGTTGTGTGTTTTTGACACAAAGTTATTATTATTTGTATTGTTTTGTTTGTCCGAATGAAATAAAATCTTTAAATAAAATAAAAATAACATGCACACAGACAGGCAACATCTATCTGAGGCAGAGTGGCAGTGGGTCAGCACGAACTTTCTAAGGGGGGGTTAAATAAATACAGCACCATAAAAGATCATGAATCATAAAAAAATAAAATAAAAAAGGTGTCAAATCTATCAGTTTATAAGCTCCACTATACCTCTATAATCGTAAAATATATAATTAACCCTTTACAACAGTTTGAACTATGATTGTGATTTTGCGTATCTCACAAAATGAAAGTAAAAATTTTAAATATTGMAAATATTAGTAAATCTTTTGTAGCTTATTAAGTATTTTACTTTCTGATCACGTGTTTTCTCACAGTTTAAGGAGTGTCTATTTTTGTTTGTTTTTTTTTTCTCCAAAGGAATGATGAAATCCGAAGTGAACTGTACCAGAGAGAAGGGTGGTGCTGTGGGAGGGTGCAAGTCCACAAGGGGTGGTGTGTGCTGAACATTTATTTCCACACACGGACAACTAGACTGAGTTACTGCAGGAGCCAAAACCAACATGTTCTGTCTGCCAGTGAGGCGAGAGGGGAAARGGAAAATAAATAAAAAATATATAGYCRAAGCTAAAAAGCTTTCGCACCAAACAAGCTCTGGTTCTGCAGCGGCAGAACGGACCGGTCGCTTTACATCAGGGAAAACACGTAAACACACCTCAGACTGGTCACAAAGTCGAGTTGAAGTTTGTTTTTAATGCATCACAAAAAAAATTGTCGACACTTATCAAAGGGAAACGTTTGAGTATACAGCTGCTGGATGGAGAMAAATCATCAACCAAATGGTTGAGTTTTTGTTTTGTTTTTTTGTTGCTGTCGAGTGGCCTCAGTTGCACGTGAGAGTTGGCTGAGAGAACAGAACATGATGTGATGTGCCTGAAAGCTCCTCCCTAATTCCTCACTCTGGTACGTCAGAACCCAACTCTATAAGGTGACGTACGGAAAGAAGCAACCACAGGRTCTGCACTGTGGTAGTTATTTACATCCACTGAACATTTCAACYTCATAACATCCCTGGATATAAATGCAACTGAATTGGAAAAAAAMCATTCACTGTAGCCATTATTATTTTTTTTATTTTATAGTTGTTTTTGCACTCAGAGCTTATAGTTGRCAATCATTCAATAGGACACAAAAACAACAGATTCCTTAAAAACACAAAGTGAAAGTTTTTTATCTTGTGTTAATGCATTAAAAACATTTTTTAAGAGTCCCAAACCAATGCCTAATGGCATGCRATGACTGACACACCACAATAAGGCTTATAATAAGCACAGCAGCATCAAGTGACACTTTCCTTCTGTAACGCAGGACTACAAAAAGGCACTTCATAACTGTTATGAAATGTGACGTTACAATCTTACAACGGTCAATCAACAGAAATGAAAACCCAAGAGGGATAGAACGTACAGCAATTTAGGTTAAAWACAAGTGTTTCAATATATCAAAATTGTAAAAAAGAAAAAAAATCAACATCTGATTCATTCCTACTGAAATGTCTGACAACAAAAAAATGACACTTTATATTYTATTAAAAACTGTTTTTGATCAGACACATTTATAGTGAGGTAATCACCAGATGCATAAATACCGTACCACCGTCACAACCACCCAATCACYATGAAAGTCAAAACAAACAAACAGCGATTCAATCACTTCTGAAATGCATTAATATTATTCGGTCAAGTGCATTTAAAAAAAAATCCTTTTTTGTTGCTGAATCACTTGGCAAACTTATGGAAATGATGGTGTTTCTGAAAACACAAGCAGTTCAAAGTGAAAATGACTTGTGGGACTGAAAACAAACCTCCCTCTCTGCTGCAGAAAACTGCAATAAAAGTAAAGACTGTTGCCTGTGGCTGCCCGAGGCCCAGCACGGTCGGACATGGAAACGCTTAGCACCAGGAATAAATTGTCTCGAATTAGAGCGGACGAGGAAGAGCTGAGATTAGACTGGAGGTCTTTTCGGACCCTCTGGCTTAACGTGTAGTGACGTGGCTGTGCAGGCAGCTTAGCAGCACCAGGGAAGCCCTGTTATGATCTGCAGGGTGTGTCTTGTTAGTCTTATCTGGCTCTGACACTCACTTCACGCTGGGGCTCCTAAGCAGGGGTCCCCTGGTCGACCCCCCCCCTCCCCTCCCCCTCATCTCAGTAAAGGAGTCCAGCTAATCGGGGATATTCCAGCTCTGTCCAATCAGCGAGGCCTGATCAGAAAGAGAATCTATAAATGAAACAGCTGACGTACAGAGAAAGTGCCTTCTGATTCAGCACAGAAATATCATCACCACAGGGGAAAAAAGGAAGTGAATTACTTGTAAATAAAAKAATTTACAGCTAAAGCCATCATCAAATGAGCTAAAGTAATCAGTGTAAACTTTTAACACCTTTCTGATGACTATTAAACCAGCTTTAGCAATAAAACAACAAACAAACAAAAGAATAATCTTCCTAGATCATTTTCCTAGCCTCCTTCAAATTGTCTAATATGAAAAAATAAAAACATTCAAAGTGAACCCAGAGATATCAGCTGCTCAGCTGAAATCCCTGTCGGGGAAGATAAGGGGGGCGATGAGGGTCCAGAGATAGAGGCCGAGGCCCAGCCAGCTGGAGCTCATCTTCACCCACACAGCTGGCATGCTGCTCTGCATGGCCTGCGTGGTGATGTCAGGTCTGAGGAAACACAGAGGCAAAGTTAAAACATGTTACCTAAACCTGATGGAGAACTCACTTAAATGCAATTATTTGTTGTAAAAACAGCCGTGAGTGAGAATGTCTTTAAATTAAACAAATAAATCAATCTCTGCTCCAAGATTCAAGACGGTTTTTTTTTTTTTGGATGACGTTTGTCGCCCCCTGGTGACAAAACTGGGCAGAAAAAACATTCGGCTACAATTTGAGCTTTCAGTCTTGTTGTTAATTCCTCCCTATATCTGATGTAAAGTGCCTGTGACATCAAATTTTTTGTAATAAACATGAATGCATTTTTGGAAGAATAACATTGATAACATATTGCAAAACAAATTTCACGTCGCTGAGATGAACAGCTGTTGAGATATTTGCATGTGAAGAAACAGGAAGTGATGTCAAAGGGGAATGGCAGCATGTAAACAGAGCGTTGTTACAACAGTTCACAACACAGACTGTAGAGAAGAATCTGATGTTTCTTTAGATTATTTTTAGTCTCTATCAAAGAGAGATGAAGAAGAGTTAAACTTTAAATAATTTTGTTTTAATAAACCGAGACCAGCGAGTTTATTTTATTAATGAGTTCCCCTTTGATGTCACTTCCTGTTTCACTTTGGCTGAGCCAAATCTAAAAAGAAAATAGGCCAGTTATGTGACAAAATGGGTAAAATCAAGTATACTATGACAATTTTCTTAAAGATGCTTTCTTTGACTTTTTGTATTTGAAGGATAGGCATGTAACAGGCACTTTACGGCTTCAAATTTTATAAATATTTTAGATTTATAAYCTTCTTCCAGACAAACAACACTTTCCTGTTGGAATGCATTGTTGCAACAGTTTGTTGGTGACAGATACTCACTGGTACCAGTTGGTAAGGGTCATCATGATGTACAGGGAGGCCAGACAAAGGTGGAAGTGGAAAAAGAAGTAGCTGTACGTGACTTTCTCCTCCTCGTTGTCGACGGCCCTGCGAATGCCGTCCTCCCCCACGACTTCCTCGCCACTGTAGCCCTTTCCTTCCTCTGTCTGCATCAGCTTGTTCACCTGAGCGTTGCTGGATGAACGGATACTAAAARAYRGGCAAAAAGAAACATTCAAAATCCCATAAAAACCTTACAAAACACGTTTTTAACGGCTGACTTACCTGGCGTAGAGAGTACAGAAGAGGAAGATGATCAAACCAACGATTCCCTGAGCGTCCCACCACTGCACGTGTCCCGAGTTACTGTCAACGGRCGATTGGGTGGCGCTGACGTTTGAGACGAGACTCAACAAGCTGGGGTTGCACCTTTGGTCTATGATAGCAAAGACACATTTTAAAATACTGAGATAAAAACCCATCGAACTATTTTCTTCACCCACTTCTCTTTTTCTAGGTGTGAGGAGCTAGTGCTTATCTACAACAGTCACTGTATGAGGGGCGGGGCATAACCTGGACAGGTTGCAAGTCCATCACGACCATTTACACTCTCACCTAGGGACAATTTAGAGTTACCAATTAAGCTAACGTGCACGGTTTTTGACTGTGGGAATAAACCGGAGTACCTGGAGGAAATCCACGGGTGCACAGGGGAGAACATGCAAACTCTACCAAGAAAGACCAGGAGGTAATCCTTTGATCGGTTTGCTGAGGCAACAGGTCTAACCACTGCTCCACCGTGCCACCCAGGTTTTAGGAATCAAAGGCAAATGTGTTTTTTTTTAAATTGGCAATACAAACATCCAGCATGGCAGACCTAACAATATTAGTTTTCTTTATATTGTTACTATTGACAGTGTGTGATAGAAACAGGAACTTTATCTAAATCTTTATCTAAATGTCACTGGGATGTATACGTTTTTATGCTATGGGGWGGTGGATGCCTATATTTTTAACCCATTCAGACTTAAAGAGGATATTAAAGAGTATTTTCTGAAAATCTTAACAGAATTGACACTGTTCACTAAACTTTTTTTTTCCAGATTATTGTCTATCACTGTAAGCTTGTACTGCTTTTTCTTTAAAATGATACACGTTTTGTATTAAACTTGAAAAGCAACAAAGCTTTATATGGCACAGCAAAAATTTAACTSAGATATAAAAGCTGCATCAAGTCTGAATGGGTTAAACAAAACTCAGCCTACATTTATCACAAGACTGTCCATTGGATCAAACAAAGATAGCTGTGCTAAAATTAACTACACTGCGCCTTTGTTTCTGTATTTAAACTCACCTTTATTGTAAAAGCTGCAGCAGATCAACAGAAGGTCAACATACAGTATTGAACAGAAATAGTGAGGACAACAACYGAATTGTTTAATGAAAACAGGAGATGACATCTGATCACTCACCTGGATTGTTGGTCATGGCAGACCAGGTGACATACATGGTGTAGAGGGAGATGAGCGAGGCCTGGAGCAGACCGGAGTGTGGCTGAACTTCCTGTAAACAACACGACAAAACAGTTAAATGACCAATTCATCACAACAGCAAACGGCTCATAGGTTGGTTTCAAGTGACATCACAATGAAGAATGAAGATAAGACTAATGGATTTTATATTTAGGGTGTAATTGTGCGCGTTTAGTTTAGTTTAGTTTAGTTTAGTAAATTTTAGTGTCTAAGTCAAATCAATGAGACAATGAACAAGTGCAATTATTCGTCAGATTAAAAAAAACTTTTGCTGGTTATTTGAACTAACTAGGGCTGCAACAACAAATCAATAAAATTGATTATTAAAAGCATAGGCAACGAATTTCATTATCGATTTGTTGTGTCACGTGATTTATGCGTCCCCTCGCCGTGTCACGGAGCCATTTATGTCACCCGCAGAGCGTTGTCAATCCTGGCTGACCTAAATAAAGTTTAGGAAGAAAGAAAAAACTCTACCGGTAAAGATCCACCCTCTCTGAGACCCTCGTGTGAAAAGCAGAGACTTTGAACTTTAAATCAGTTTTTAAATTGTGTTGTTATGCCAAGTAGATTCGAAGTTATGATAAAAAGTATACGCCACATTTAATTTTTTTAAATGATGGTCTGATTTTTAGGGCAGAGGGGAGGAGGGGGGGCTGCTTCAGAGACGCAAAAAGTAAAGAATCAGAGAAAAATCACAAGTGCTAAATGTAAATAAGTTCTAATTATAATAAATTAATAATAGTTTTAGATCTAAAAGTCACATTTTACTCTTATTTTCTGTTTTCCTCATTCAGCAACCTATTAAATTTCTGTTTTATGTTTTATAGCTATAACCAAGTAAATCCACTTTTTTTTCCAGTCAGTGTTTAATATGGATGGCAAAATCAACTGTGAAAATATTTATGATGTGCTTCTGTTTTTTAATTTAGCATATTATTTAAAAAATCCTTCATGTTATGAAAAGACCCTCTTGATTCAATAGAAAATTCTGGTTTTTAAGAAAATGGCTGCTTATCAATTAATCGTTAGTCAATCTAAGATAAATCAACTTCTGACAACTTCATATTAATCGATAACTTGCATCCCTAATGTATACAGGAATTAAATTAATTTGTATCAACTTATATTTATGTAATTAAGTGTTTTCATGATTTGGCCGATTAATCAAAAAATAATGGACAGATTAATCGATTATTAAAATAATCGTTAGTTGCGGCCCTAGAACTAACCCTGTACCTGTATCTTTGGTAAGATGGAGACAACAGAGATGATGATGCAGAAGATGAGGTTGAGGCTGATGAAGACTTTGTGCTCCGTGCAGTTGTCTGGCTGCGTGTAATAAACGTAGAAAAGCACCACAGCGGTGAAAGCCAGTGCATAGCTGAGGAAGGTGAAAGACAGCAGCCCTGAAATCCAAACAAAAAAAGTAATATGAATTTTAAAAAAACGTGCAATTTAAAGAAATCATTTGCTGACTTGAGTAACAGATAATACCCATTAAATCAGGGGAAAAAAACCAATAATGCAAACAGAACCCCATCAAAATAAAACAACTATATTTAACATTTTCTCTCATCTTGACAAACAAACCAACCTGCCTGAAACTGGTACAAATAGCATTTTAATYAAACAGTAGCAGTCATTAGGAGAGGCAGCCAGCAATCACTTTATTAGTCTAAACAAGCTGAGCTAATGTTAGCTTTCTGAACATTGTGCACAGAGCTTTCACTACAACAAACACAGACATGTATGGGAAAGAAAAATAAAACGATGCATTCAAAATGCTCATTTGATAATCYGATTTTAATACTTTATAAGTCATCCAAATGAACTCAACTATGACTAACTGTAATCTTGTTTTTTTTTTTTCACATTTATACACAAGTCCCAGTGGACGTGCTACAGCTGGTCACCTTTTTTTTTTTACTAAAACAGAGTCGGCAAACTAACTRATGAAGTAAATGTTGAGACATCAGCCTGTTTTAGCTTGTGCATAAAAAGTAGAAAAAAACTATACAAGTTTGTTGCCTTTCAGCTGTGAGTTACATGGTTACACGATTCATCTGCTTATTAACTAATGATAAACACAAAACCACTGCTCTCGTTTTTGATGCCACAAAGAATATTTCTTAGCATCTTAAAGTGTATCTTACCCCGCCCTGTGAAAAGATAACTCCGCCCCAAGGCGAAATTTGAAAAGTGCATCAAAGTGGGTAGAGGAGGGGG